ATTAAAGGAAAGTGCCTCACCCGAGGTAGTGCCCCCTCGTAAGGTACCTTTTGCCCTAAAAGCTCGACTGAAGAATGAACTGGACCACATGGAACAACTGGGTATAATTGAAAAAGTCGAAAAATCTACAGACTGGGTAAATGCTTTGGTTGTCGTCGAAAAGCCCGATGGAAAATTACGCATTTGCCTTGATCCCCGTCCCTTAAATCAAGCTATAAAACGCCAGCATTATCGATTACCCACCACAGAAGAAATAGTATCTCAAATGAGTTGCGCCAACGTCTTCAGTAAACTCGATGCAAGTAATGGATATTGGCAGATAGCAGTAGAGGATTCAACCTCTGACCTCCTTACCTTTGGCACAGCGTTCGGGCGATACAGGTTTAAGAGAATGCTATATGGGATTCACTCAGCTAGTGAGATTACCCAATTTGAAATCTCCAACATCATTGCTGGCTGCGAAGGTTGTGCCAACTCTCAGGATGATATAATTGTTTAGGGGGAAACTAAAGAAATCCATCATCAGCGCTTACAGAAAGTCCTTGCTCAGATCAAAGAAAGTGGACTGAAATTGAACCAGTCAAAACGCATCTTTGGTGCAACTGAATTAACATTTCTTGGTCATGTCATGTTAGCAGATGGAGTAAAGCCGGACCCCCAAAAAGATGAGGCAATCACTCGAATGCCGATTCCAACTACAAAAGTTCAGCTCCAGCGATTTATGGGCATGGTGAACTATCTGGGAAAATTTATTCCTAACTTGTCAGACGAAACAGCACCACTCAGAGCCCTCTTAAAGAATGTACCGAATTTGTCATGCAAAAGCCTCAGCTTGACTCTTTTGAGAAACTCAAGCGCCACATATCTTCTGTACCGGTTCTGCAATTTTATGACCCAAACCTCCCAATTCGCATGCGAACAGACTCCAGTTCAGTTGGTCTAGGTGCAATGCTAGAGCAGTGTATAAACAGCACCTAGCATCCCGTTGCATTTGCCTCCAGAGCGTTAGATAAGTCTGAACAAAACTATGCACAAATAGAGCGCGAAACCCTGTCCGTCGTTTTTGGATATGAAAGATTCCACGAATTCCACCTTTATGGTCGTGCATTTGTGGTTCAAAATGATCACCAACCATTAAAAGCAGTTTTCTCTAAAAGAATTGTGCAATGTCCCCCACGAATACAACGATTTTTTCTTTGCTTGCAAAAATACGACTTCACGTTTGAATATGCACCTGGTAAAACCATGAAAGTTGCTGATGCGCTCAGTCGAGCATCTCTTAACAGTAAACCAGAGATCGATCCGAAGGAAATGGCTCATCACGTCCACTCGGTCATCAATACACTTCCAATTAGCGAATCAAGACTTTCACAGTTGCAACGTGAAACGCGGGTCGATCCAGATCTACAGATCTTAAAGCAGTACACAATCAATGGTTGGCCATCCAAAGACGAAATTAACAACACTGTAAAACCATTCTATAACCAACGTCATGAAATTGTGTACAACAACGATGTCCTTCTAAAAGGACAGCAAAATATCATACCTACCTCGATGCCTCGTGAAATCCGAGAGATTATACATCAAGGGCATCAAGAAATCGAAAAATGCAAAAACCGGGCCCTTCATGCCGTGTATTGGCCAGGGATGAACCACGAGTTAGCTGTCCTCGTATCTCAATGTGCCACATGCATCAATCATCGTAATCGACATCAAAGGGAGACATTGATCCCACATCAAGTCCCAGACCAACCTTGGGTAAAAGTTGGCACAAAATTTTTTACACTCTACAACCGAGACTACGTCATAGTTACTGATTATCACTCAAAATTTATCGAGGTAGCTCACATACCAAGGCCAGTGGATTCTCCTTCAGTTGTACGTGCCATAAATAAGATCTTCAGCCGACATGGAATATCACAAATTGTTGTCAGCGATAATGGCCCTCAATACAGTGCCTCATCCTTTAAACAATTTGCTCGAGAATGGGACATTCGACATGACAAAACAAGTCCTCACTTCCCTCAATCAAATGGTCTCGTTGAACGATCTATCCAAACAGTCAAGCAAACAATGAAGAAAGCCCAGGAAGCTAAGAATGATCCATTTCACTCACTACTAATATTGAATACAACACCCGCAAATGATGGCAGTTCCCCCGCCTACAAAATGTATCACAGGAACCCACGCACAAGACTTTCCGCAGCAAAAGGTCAAACAATCAATGTCACTCCCTCCAACTCTTACGTCAAGGCAGCGTATGATTATCATGCCCGAGACCTATCAAATATTGAGCCGGGCACCACTGGCCGAATTCGAACTAACAACGACAACAGCTGGGCACAAACCGGACAAATAGTCAAGAAGTGTAAGGAACCTAGAGCATACCTCGTCATGAATGAAAAGGGGCACATGGTCCGTAGGAACAGGCGTCACCTCCTACCAACAAAAGAACCATTCAAAGTCAAGACCAACTATGATGACCTGCAAACGCTGTCAAAACCTAATCCCGACAAGTCATCAGCACCTCATCAAACATCCCGATACAGCCGACCCATACGTACTCCATCACGATACGCAGACTACAATGGTTCGGCTAATGTAAATGGTTCGGCTAATGTAAATGGTTCGGCTAATGTAAATGGTTCGGCTAATGTAAATGGTTCGGCTAATTTATGCGTTCCTTTGTCACGATCGATTTTTTTAAGGTTGATTTTACCAGTTAGATATTAACATGTTTTACCCGTATTCAAAAAACTCACTCACACTCACTGAGTGCAAGATAAAAACCACACTCTGTAATCATTAGCAAAGTTATTTCTCCATCTATGGCAAAATTTTCTTCTTGATATTTCAAATCAAACAATTAGTTAAGTGAAATTATGGTCATTGATTAATTATGACGTTATTTTGAGGCCCCACTCATTGAATGTGGGTGTGAGTGAGCTTTTAGAATACGTGCGTAACCGGTAACTTGGCTTACTGTAAGCAAAGCTAACAAGATAGTTTTAGGGTTGATAATGATCTGACTTTGCAGTTTGCCCTTTTTAAGACGTTAGTCTCATTCTCATAGCGATTCTGTTTCGTTTACTTAAATTTTTAAGAAAAGGTGGTGTGCAACCATGCCCCTGGGAGTTAGAGAACAGTGAAATCTTCGCCATACGTTGCATGACATTTGCATCGTAAATAATGAAAATTATTTGTTAAGATCGTCCAACATGGCGGCCATGACGTAGCTTGTAAACCAAAAATAGCGAAGATTTAACGTGTTAGAAACTTATAACGCGCTCAGACTGTGTGCCGGAGTACGATACCGTGGTTCGGTCACAAATCTGCAGGCCGTTCACACTACGTAGTACCCACTAGCTTCGTCTATTTATAATTTGATATTTTTCATTGTAAACAAGTTTTAAAACCATGTGCTGAGTACGTGCCTTGCTGTACACGTTACTTGTGTGTCATCCTTTACATTGGTGCACGTGCTCGAGCACCGTGTGTTGGTGGTGCCCAGACCCGAGCACTTCCACTCGGGGATCATCAAAATGTTCTGTTGACTATGGTGCCCGTGCCTGAGCACCGTGCCAAGGCACTTAGTCTGAACGCACTATTAGAACCATATATCACTGGTGTGACATTTCGGAATATGATTAATTGGCTCATGCTGTATAGTGAATTTTCTAACAATTTGGTGTCTTACATATGATACATGCGATGTGATGTGATAAATATTCAAGATTATTTGATCGTTATCTGAAAGCATGGTAATATTACCAGTAACACAATCTGTTCACATTCGTCTCTGTAACAAATTGAAAGATATTTATCAGCGTTGACAAGTTTTAAATTGTTGGGAAAATGAATATCATATCATGAAATCTTGCTTTATATGAAAATAAACGTAATAATTTGATTTTCTTTGACATTCGTTTGATAAAGATCAATTAAAATTATGTCTTGTTCGTGCAAACGGTATTAAGTGCAAGGTGAATACATATTAGCATGGTTTGTAATAGCTTAGTTCACTCTCATCGCAGAACATTGTTGGTGAATTTAAAGGAAACATAAAAAGCAAATGAATATATTTAAAGCGTTCGAAGCTTGCACAAAATACTACAAAATACAAATATTATTTGTGGTGATACATAATAAGTATCGTATCACCTTTCAATTTGTCAAATTTGGAACAGGAAATACAATTAAATATTTTGCAATCAGTTGTCAAGCGTTCGATTAATCATTTTCAACACAATCAACACATGTAGAATCGTTGCAAAAATAATCTTTTGCAAATATTTCAAGAAAAAAGTAACAACAATTAACACGAGTTGTCCGCCCAAAAATAGCAATACAATTGTAATCGCTAAAATTGTTGCCAATTTTGTCAGAGAGCTGTCTTGGACAGTTGGACGTGATTATTTGTCATCATGAGATGTTATATGTTTGTAAATGATGATCGTCCAGGTTAATAAAGTCCTGAGAAGGACTGTTTTTGTTGTTGTTGACGTTTACTCCTCATTTGACTCTGAAGATGACTACCGCTAAGGTTGTCGAAACGTCAGTCAACAACAACAAAAACAGTCCTTCTCAGGACTTTATTAACCTGGACGATCATCATTTACAAACATATAACGATACTCCCGGGTTCAAACCATTTACTTTATCATGAGATGTGTCAAAAAAAAGCAAATGATGATATTTTGAGTCAAACCAGCAGTAGCAAAATATAATTCGCGTAAAATAAAAAATCTAGTAAAGGTATCTACCTCTAACCTTTACTTCACAAGTTATTTGGTTCTTTGACCTTGAGTTTTGGATGGTTTCTATGAGTAAACCCATGCTTTTGTTAAGGGATATTAGTAATTAAACGTCTCGCAAAGGGAGGAAGGTTTATTAAGTGTCCTCGGTTTGTGGAACATTTAATCACTGATATCCCTGAAAGCATGCGTTTACTTATAATAAAGTTTCGAAAATTATGTTTATGTGTAAAGTTATATTAGACATTTAAAATCAACGAAAGTTTTATTGCATACACGTTTCGGCATACTTATGCTATCTTCATTGCCTTTTTTGCAGAATGAATTAAATATTTAATACAGGTAGTTTACAATGGTATATACTGAACGCAAATAGACAAAAAAGATTTAAACTGTGAAAGTGCAATAGTGATGCTTCAAATTTTTTATTTGAAGGTTGACTTATTTCTTCAATCTAGCCAATGCATGATGAAAAGCATCACCAATTTTTGATAAAATGTATTTGATGTAGTCGAGCGTTTTCCTCGATCCTTTAGATGTCGGTTCTTCAACTTCACCTAGCCTTGTGTTAGAAGAACATACTTCTTCTTGCTCCAGTTTCTTTCTCTCCATTCGCGAATTTGCTTTTGAAGAATCATTACTGTAAAGACTTGAAGTACTAATCTGAAACATTTTTTCGAAAGCTTGTTTGGTAAGATTTCCTTTCTTTTTATCAATCATTCCAACTAACGTATAAATATGCTGCAATGTTAATTTATGTTTTAAAAACACTGGATCATTAGAAACAGATCTTTTCCATTCGTGGAATTTTTCTTTAACTTGCAAGTCTACACACCCACCTCTCCATTGAGAGGCTGGAATTTTTAAGACTTTGTTGCTTTCTGTATTTACTGATGTTTGTCCCACAATGTATGCACCAACACAACCGCCAACATTATTTTCATCTCGGTTTGACAACTCTATGATGTCATTATAATTATCACATTCAACTGATCCCCCAACATATGCAGACGTGACGACAAACTGACCAAATTTATTGAAAAAATTTATGAACTCCTTCATCACTTTCTCGTTTTCGATATTTCCATATGGAAGTTTTTCCACTGCAGACCGAAAGTCATCAGCAAAAGCAATTTTTTTCGAATCAATTTCAACAGTTATCTTTGCGATTCTTACTTCTTTTAATATCTTTGTATTGGTTGAAGATCTTGAGTCATTTTCCTGACGCTTCATGCTGTAGTTTGCATCAAATTCTTGAGCCATCGTTAATATACTTGGTGCCATGTTCACATTTAGCCCCAAGGCTGAAAGGCGCGATTTAATGGAACTTTTATTCCGTTGTAAATGTATTTCGCTCTCAACAGTTTTATTTATATTCAATATTTGTGCAAATTTAGGAATTCTCAAGCCAAATTGTTTATTATCAACGAGAGATAATTTTAAAACCTGAGCTGAAACAAAGTCGTCTGTGACAAGGTTGTATCCATTACCAATAAATTCAGCTACAATAAAGAAAAATCAAGTTTTTAGAAACTACGCTTATTCATTATATACGATGAAGTAAGTATTTTATAAGCAATGATTTGGATTAGCAGTGGCGTAATACCATCACTTGGGCTCCTCCGTCACATAGCTATTGGTAGCCCCGTTATGTTCCAATAGAAAATAGGTTTAATGATCGTACACATTTATTTATATTACCTCTATTTATGGCTTCTGTTAACATAAGGCAATTTTTCGTGCATAGTTAATTAGAGAGTCGGGATAAAAAAGTAGCCAATTTTAAATGTTTAGTATACTATAATTTTAGCAAAAATCTTCTATTTTTATGCTAGAATGAGTACTTTAGCAGCCACAACACAATTAGAAACTAAAAAAAAGAAATTCAAGCTAAAAAAAAAAGAGCATTAAAAACTGCGTTTTAAATGGTTTGTGAAAGCATTAGAGACATATTAATGTTAAAAAAAATTTTTATTGCAAAATAGCTATAGAAATTAAAGAAAATTTGATCAAAAATAAGTCAACAGAGCAAATGTATAATTAAAGTGTTTTCTGTTTTCATTCACAGCTAACGCGCTCTTTTTTGTGCACGAATATACCCTGCATGTTATTTTGTTGAGAGTATTGTAAAGATTCCTCAACAAATGTATGTTTCTATTTCATTGACAATAAACTAAAATTACAAAGTAGTAGTTGTCGATATCCTATAAATGTGCTTTGTTTATTTAATAAATTTATATGGTATTTCTTGTTTGGGGCCCTTAATTTTTGGGGGGCCTCGTCACTTGACACCTGGACGCCCAACTACGCCACTGTGGATTAGCAACAATTGTTTATGAATTGACTATTATTATGCTTTTAATGCTCGCCATAAGATAGAAAAATATCGAAATACCCGAATAAAACGACTCAGCACATTTTATGTTAAATTTCTTCTCCAACATTTGAAGGCCATGTTCGGTGATAATGTCGTCATAACGACAGTTGATTTCAAAGATTGTTGTGCGCTTCAATATTGAATCATCCGACAATCCCATCGCATTCATAGTTTCCACCAGCCCAAAAAGTTCCTTTTTTGCAGACTCGTCCTGGATGTTGTTCTCGGAAATATACTGCTTTGCACGCTTGACAAGTGAGTTGGTTGAACCTTTGAAAAAAACTTGCAATTATAACAATGTGCTTCTCAGCAGTGAATGGTTGAGTACAGTGCAGTTTATCTGTAATTGCACTGTAAAAATGTGTAATTGCAGTGTGGCAATACTTGTAAAAAAACAGTAGCTACTTGCTGTTTTGTATTCTTTTGTAATTCTTGAATTTAAAACGATTGCAATTATGAAAATCTTGTTTACTTCGCTTATTTACGACTGCTGCCATGTTTTTTAATTGAAATAAATTTGTTTGGCTTTTACTGTTCTTCAGCCAAGCAGGTTATAGTATTTACAGTGCAATTACAGCTTTTCTGCAGCGCAAGTATACAATTTCACAGTGAGCTGCACTTCAGTCGACTAATCACAGTCGAAAAACATCTCAAGGTATTTTATTGCCTATACAAGTTTCTAACGTTAATGTAACAAGTAACAAGTTATTTAATCTTGCTAAAAAAGTGTTTTTTATTTCAAGAGTAAACCTCTGACAAACAACAGTCCTAAAGACAAGAATGTGTTAAAAATAAGATGCATATTTTAATGAAACGTATTCTTGATAAGAAATTTTGAAGTTTGAAGTATTTTTTTATTTAGTACTCTACAGAAAAATCTTGCTTCTGAAACAAATTTGCAAATTTGGGAATTTTTTATTAAAAATAAATAATAGCTACAAAAAGAAATGTAAAAAAAACTACAAATCCTACCACCTTTACCAGCTTCAGTAAAATCTTTTACAAGTTTCTTTTCCTCATCTGATAATTCCTCTTCATTTGCAACTTTCGCTTTAACTTCATGACCTTTTGTTGGTTTTTCCTTTTTCTTTCGTGTAAATGCAGCATTCAACACCATATGTCCAAATTTATCTGTGATATGGTTTCCATCTTTCCTTTTTTTGAGTAAGCTAAGGCAAGCTTTGTATAAATTCAAAGGTTGTTTCTCGTGGCTTGGAAGGATTCTGAAATCTCCATCCTTTTTAAGTTCGTGCTCATCATTAGGATCATTTTCCATCAATACAACTGGTGCAATGACACCTAAATTGTCAAAAACAATGTCGGACACAAGTTTTTTCTTTTCTCGCATCGTCTCTTGCCATTTTTTCACGTTCTTGTAACCAATAGCGCAAGCATGTGTCAAAATCACAACAAGATTTGGATGACTGATGTCAACAATATTCAACATCTTGATACATCTCAAGGATTATGAAAGTGAGCTATTGATTCCTTTGATTCTATTATTATTGGCTTTATCAACTATGAACACAAGATTTGGATAAATCTCTGTTTTCGAAGAAAATTTGGGATGTGTTTCCAAATACTTTTTTATAGATAGAAAATTACATGCATCTTGTTTAACACCATCATCATCATTGAAGCCAGGGGTGTCAATAACTCTCATGGTTAAATCACTCACTTCATACTTTGGTTCGTCAAAAGTAATGATATACTCAGATGTTTTTCTCGTAGATGATTCATAATTGCTTGTCTCAGCAACTGGGAATCCATCTCTGGTGTCCAGTAAATGATTTATTGTTGATGATTTACCACATCCAGTACTTCCAACAAGCAATATTATAGCAAATTGAGAATGGCGTTGAATATTCTGACTTGAAAGTAAGAAATAAAGAAGTTTAGCTCTGGGATTTTCTTCTGAATTTTCATCACCCATATTAGGGATCTCATTTATTTCTGCCACTATTTCATTCAAAGATGATGGTAAAGGCTTTAATTGAGAAGAGTTGATACTGTCCATTTCTTTATCAAAACCTAACAAAAATACAACTCGTTTAAATATCTGTGTTGAACGTTGTTGTTCTACACCGCGGACCTATTGTATTTACAAAATAGACATTCCAAGCATATCAATAATCATTATGACAATTAATATGTATCTTTGATTTTCTATAGTTGAGATTTGGCATTTTTTCAGTTTAAATAGAATCTACAAATGATTTTTTTGACGACTGCAATCGACGAAACTTGTTGACCTGGCCCGTCACTCACTCCTTATTAAACATATTTTATATACATTCATTTTCAGAAATTAAAGCTCAATACCACTACAAATTTTATACACACGATATACCATTGGATGCGATATACGACGTGCTGTTAGAACATTAACTGCAGCAATTTTCCTCAAATTGAAATTTATCATGATGTTCGCTTTGGAGAGAACTCAATTCATGCAATATAAAAATTCAAAATTATGTTACAGCGTTGAATACTAAGAAAGAAAGTCTTTGAGGGATTTCTGTAGTCAAACAGAGCGTTCAATTTAATGCGATGAAACATGAAAATTCTTGGCACGCAATAGAACAAATTATAGAAATAGGAACCAGTTAGTAGACATAAGCATTTAGCACACAGCAATATGATGCTTTATCGTTAAACATGCACGAAAAACGTATTGTCTTTTTGAAGCTTCGACGATACTTTTCTGTTGACGAAGTATAAAAAAAATAAATGATTAAAGAATCTAGAAAAGCTCTGGTTGTGGCTTCCTTCAAAATTATACAGTAATTGTAGCAACGGGTGATTAAACATGCTTGCATTAAATGCTCACATAAATACAAAATAGCGAAATATATTAAAACGTTACAACATGCTAAAAATGTTACTTGAATTTTATGGCAAATTTTGACTTGAAAAGCAATAAAATCAGAAATCTGAAAATGCACTTCTATACGTGGCAAAATTGTTTTCATGTCATTAAAATAACAAAACCTGTGCTCATTCAATATAGAATCACTCATTATATATTCTACATTGTGAATATCAACATTGTGAAACAAAATTTGAAATCATATGCATTAATGTTTTTAACTGTATCGTCACATGATAGCAAAAGAGATTGGAACTAAAATAATATCATTTATTCTAAATAATTAGATGTTTTTCAAAATTGCTCGTTGAAACGTCAATACTGAAGACGCTGTCTTGTGTATGAGGAATTTTGTAAAATATGCTTGCATGCACACTTTCAAGTTTCAAAGCCACCATTTTAACGATTGGAATGAGAATCATGAAACCACTCCTTCCTATGTGACAAAGTTGTGTTATCGACCTCGACGACATGGGAACAAAGAAGATAGTTCTGGCAAACAAAAATTTATCGAGCAAGCAGGAAACACGTTGTGCCATTGAGTACAACAACATAGATGAAATAGATGTCGTAAGTGACATCATATTTCTAGCTGCGATAAGAATCACACGCAATAAGAAACTGGCATCACTGTTGCAAACTCCAGCAGTGTTACCATGGTCATACATTCTTTGGAAACTGAGCAATAAATGGCTATAAATTCCAGAGTTTAATTAAACAGCGTTGCTAGTCACTCCCACGCGTCTCTAACTGTGCTATTCAACTGATTGGTGCCAGCGGTAAGTCAGTTGGGTATGTCAGATTGCAATGTTAATCGGTATAACCACACAAAAGATGCAGCTTTATGATTCAAACGATTTCATTTTTAACGTGATTATAAATTAACAAAGATAAGGAAAGAGAAATTACTCTGTCTTGTAAATCACTGTTATAAAGAAATACTCAAATTATCATTATAGGCATTTACATGAACAACTACGATCATGTTACTGTCCATTGAGCTCTGTAAGACTTAAGGCATCCAGAGGTCTGGGAACTGTTGTACAATCTATTTCGAAAATAGCCAGTGTGAGTGGTACTGTACATTGAACTAAAATACATGGAATGCTATCTGAAGAAGCAAATAATTGAAGCCAAATCTTACACCGACACACGCAACATTACACCGAGACACGCGTGTGTAGTGTTTCGAGATTCTCTTGCGAAGGGAAAATTGATTGAACTACACACGCTTGTAATGTCACGTGTCTGGGTCTAAGATTTGGTTTTTACACATGGACAGCGGAACAACATATGAATTGCGGGGGCTAAGTCTTCATTTCTACCATAATGTCTTAAAAGACAGTTCTAAACAATACTTTAACTCAGTCTAAATATCTCTTTTCTTTTACCATTGCAAAAAGTGGAGAGGGGGGCTTCAGCCTCGCCCCTGACGGTTCTGACGTCCCTGTTACAGGAAGCGTTCCATGTTTTTTTTATTCAATGGTACTGCACCATGTACTGCACACTGCGTACGTCCTAAATCGAGAAGTACGAGGTATGAATACGTTTCTCAAGTTGAACTCATTTCAAAAATAGCCAATGCTTTGCGTGTCAACACAAAAAAATTGCAATCGGCTTTGTCACAACCAATTAACAACTTGATAATTTTATATGACAGCGGAAATGTTTAGATTACATCATGGATTACACGTCAAAAAATTTTCTCCAATCTCCCCTCGCCCTCCCCCCACCCTCAAGATGGTTCAGTCACTGTGTCCAGTTTGGCCATCCTGGTCCACTGTCCATTCCGTTCACTGGATCAGTTTATTAGAATTTAGAAAATATCAGGGCCGACAAGTTAATCGACCATTATATGAAAGAAGAATTGGAGGAAGAACGCGGCGCAGTCCTCAATATGTTTAACAAAGGTTAAAGTTTTATTAAATGTAATTTTCCATCAGAGTTCAATATGCATTGAAACGTCCTATTTTCAAATTCTAGCTGTTCTTTCAAAAGAAGTTAATTTATTGCAGATCGTTCAAAAGTTAGGATAATTTATGCGTTTGTTTGAATGTATCGAGGTTTTAATAAGTTAGTTTTATCAGTTAGAATTTAATAAGTTATCTCTGATTCATAGATTAGTCTAACTCTTACAGTTAACAACGCTGACAAGATAGTGTCATGGGTCATATAATATATGACTTTGAGCCTTAAGACTTAAGTAATTGCAATTTTGTTACGTTCCCAGAAAATTTTAAGCTTAGAGAAAGTTGTAAAGTGCTAGAACTATTTATCACTGGTGACATACCAGAACATAACTAAATGGTCCATTTTGTATAAGTTTATCTTCTCACAATTTTGCTGATTTAGTGACTTGCACTTGACACATGTGATCTGGTAGATTTGCATGATTATTTTATCATTTATCTGGTTAATAATACCATTAACTAGACATGCATCTAAGACATTTATTATTGTTGATAACTGTAGTTGGAAAATAAATATCATATCATGAAGTCTTGCTTTGTATGAAAATGATTGTAATCACATGATTTATTGAGGCATTCTATTGATAAAGGTCAATTACTATACAGAATAAATTGATTTCCTTTTATAGCAAACAATAACTTCATAGTTATTAATGTTTTGAAAGGGTTGAAAAGAAAAATTGTTGTGCAATTCATTTTATTATGTGATTCAACCACTCAAACTATCAGGAACAAAACAAGCTTGTCAGTTGAATTCTCATTTTTTCCTCTAACGAATGTAAAATTAAATGTAATGTGCTGTGTTTTAAGGCTGCACGAATTACTTTTCGATTTTTTCAATCATCATTTACATCATGTATGTTTCTATCATTTATTTGGGTAAGAGAATTTCCCAACTTTCTTTTAGGTGTATTGATGGCTATAGTGCAATGTGAAATGTTTGAATTGTTGTTCAATTTCAGACTCTATCTGACTAATCAAGAAACAGATAAAAGATCCAAGGGAACACAACTGCTGTCCTTGTTGCTTTGTCGGCTTGTAACCAACGAACTCCTCGACAAAGAAGGTATGCTTTTGATAATTTAGTGACTAAGCACACTTTACTCTTATACACATTTTTGCCATTTTGGACATTCATCTTCACAAGGTCACAGACTACTGTAGGATTTTTGTCCACACAATTCATGAAATTTATAAAGAACAAAAGAATGCAAACAAAAACGCAAAGGTGAGTACTGTTTTGCAGTAAATGTTTATAAAACTCGCACAACGAAGTTTTACGGAAGTGATAGAGTGTTACAAAACAAGACAGAGGTAAACAACGTTTTGCGAAATTCCTCAAAATCTATAACTAAGCCTTTAATAACCGAGCAAGTGAGGTTATTAAAAGGTTTATTACATGGCATTATTTGACCTGAAACGAAGCTTGCTTTCTTTCTCGTCCTTGAAGTAAAAAATAAATCGTTTCAAATTGTATCGTCTGGATAGTTAAACTGTTTTTCAAGTCTTTTTCCTTCGACTCACATTCGTAAATGGTTTCCGTCTCGTTTTTCTTGTGTTTTTGCAGTTTGCTTTACGAAACTTAATTACATTTGACTGTAAAATTACGCGTTTTAGCCCATGGTCCATTACGAAAAATAATGGACCGGCAAAAATGCTTCTGAGCCAAGCAAATTGTACCATTTGGCCGCAAGTGACGCTTGCCATATAATACATACATACTATTGAAATATATCACCTTGTATCGGAAAAAAGTTATGGTCGGCCCCCCCTGAAGTGTCTACCCCACGACGCCCCTGCAAAAAGTTACTCAACTGGGACAAGTTGCACGAA